TCCCTTTCCCTTTCCCTTTCCCTTTCCCTTTCCCTTTCCCTTTCCCTTTCCCTTTCCCTTTCCCTTTCCCTTTCCTTCTTGTGAGGGACCCTTGTTTATTCTCCATCTGTGAACAGTATGTGCTGGCTGAGGTGGGGCTGTGCTAGAGAAAGGATGGTGACTGCCTAACGCCAAGCACTGCATCCACGGCCTGGAGCTCTGCTGCCCTGCTCCTGCATCCTGTTTATGAGCCGGCCTTTGTCAGGCACTGTGCAGAGTCCCTGCCCTGAGTAGCTTCCAGTCTTTCTCAGCATGTGGTTCCTGGAAACCTTGCAGTCAAATACCAGTGCTTTGTGCTCCGGGAAAATAGGATGGCCTTGTTTATGCACATGCTTTGATTTCCCAGAGCAAGGGTTGCCCCTGAAAAGTAGCCAGTAAATATCAATCCCGTTGCCTGTGGGGTGAAATGTGTAGCTGCTTTTCCCTTTGTTCCTCTACTGCTGAAAGCCCGTGAGCTGCCCGCGAAGTGCAGGAGGTGGCCTGGCCAGTACCGTAGGTTTTCCCCATCCCCCAGCAACCCAGCTAGAAACAATAGAGGCCACTGGGCAAAAAGAGCCCTGTAATACCGTTGCCAGGAGCTGATGTTGCTTTCCCTGCCTGAGTTTTCTCCAGGCTTATTTTTAGGCAAATTACAATTAATTCTTTTGGAGTTTTTTTCTTTTCCTTTCCTTTTCTTTTTTTTTTTTTTTTTTTAATGTCCTTGTGGTTTCTAAGAAACTGTTGGTACAAAAATCAGCCCTTTTAAAGGCTGGTATTCTGGGATGAATACCCCAAGGGAGGACAAAAATGTGGATGTGTCATGCCAGGGCTCTAGGCAACACGTTCAAAATAATGCGAAAGTGCATAGTTGTTTCTTGGATTTGGACTGTTTTTTTTTTCCCCCTAAGTTTCAACCTCCAATTCTGACTCAAGGATAATATATGTATGAGCAGCTTATGGGTCCAGGTTTTTACTGTTGTTATGTTTTTGTACGTGTTTGTCCTGTTCTAGTCATGACATCCAAGCAAGGAGGAAGGGAACTATCAGAGCTTCTCAAAGCTTAGGAAGTGCTTGCTCAGGAGGCAAACTCTCCTTCTAGGCTCTTGGAAAGCATGTGTTTTTAGAAAGCCTTCCCTAATTCCTGTTACCTTTGTACTTCTGCTTCTTTGTGCTCCTTCTGGAACTAAGTTAATGGCACACAGAGGCTTGACTTTCCATGTTCTTCTCCCTTTAAGGAATATTAAATGCACTAGTTAGCCCAAACGTTCATGAATGACAACTAAATTGTCCTAGAGATCTGACAAACCTTTTTTTTTTTTTTTAAACTGGCAGCGCTGAATCAGAGCTTTGGCCTCTCCTCAAATACGTGAGTGCTTTACATGAACATTAATAAAACAAGGTGAAGTGCTCGGGACCATAGGACTGTCTTTGGAGCTAGAGGTTAAGGACCTGGGCTAAACCAGAAAGGCAAAGGTTAAAGCCATGCGGTTCTGGGAGGAGGTCAGGGTCTTGCTTATTTAACTGGAACTTGGCATCAAAGTGAATATGTGGCAATCCGAAGTATTAAGGGGAAAAATAGACTTGTGGCCTATTGACACCTCGGCTGGGTTTTTCTTGCTTGCCCTTGTGGGGCTTACTGGAGAAATGGTGGCTTTTTGTTGTTGTTTTGGTTTTTTCTTCTGCCCTTCACAGCCCCGGCTGTAGCCAGAGGAATCCCTGGGGAGGGGGCTGTTGGCAGCTCATGCTATGCCCACCCAGCGGCAGCGCTACACATTCTGTCCGGCTTGCAGCTGCTGAAGCCACCTTCCTGAGGAAGAGCTGGCTCCGTGCATGGAAGGGGTTAAGGCGCTTGAGCACCTTCAACTTTCAACAAGTAGCATGGCCCAGGCAGATGTGTTGATATGGCAACCGCTCCCAGGAAAGGCTTGCCGAGCAAGCAGAGCAGCTGGCCTCCACTCATGACAAGGTACCTCAAGCAGGAGGCTGCAGCCGCTGCCCTGGCTGTGCCCCGGATCATGCTGTCAGCGCTCTGGTTAGTGTGAAGAATTCATGCGTCTCTCTAACTGCCTTTAATGCAGCGGCAGTGACGTGAGCAGTGCTGACAGGACCCAACGGCTAATTTGCTGCATTAATAACAATGGCCCCCTGCTTTCGCTCGCACAATATGTTTCCAGGATGGGGGTTAAAGCCAGGTTCTGTGGTGATGCTCTTGCTCCTTTTCCTCTCCACCGCACTGCGCCAGGCGGATGGCAGGACTCAAGGCCCAGAGCGTGCAAGGCTGCCGGAAACGTGGGGCGGGAGTGCGTGTGCATGCTCTGACAGGCAGCACCGGTGGCTTCAGATCCCGTTCTGCCTGCTCTGAAGGCACTGAGCCCTGAGTTGCTCAGCGCTTTCAAGCCTTTTTTTTTTTTTTCTTTTTTTTTCCCTCTTTTCCTCCAGTCTGGATAGTATTTGCTGGATGTGAGGCAGGGTATTTTCCATGCAAGCAGTCCCCTGGGCTCCCCAAAGTGCTTTGCAGCCCAGAGGGCGCAGCAGGCTCTGCCGAGAGGCTGGTGCGTACCCAGGTGACTTGAGTACACGGTATCATTTACCCTATTGACGTCAGCAGCTGCACACGCGCGGCTTCGCTGCTCTGTAGCAGCCTCCAGGAGACGAGCTGCAGAGCGCTGTCAGCTCCCTAAATGTGCCTAGCCTTTGCAGAGCTCGGCATACAATGCTCAGCTAAGTAAATGTCCACTTGTGAATATTTCGGGATCAAACCCTCTCTTGGCCTTCCAAAGCCCAAGTTCTTTGGCTCCTGTTCCACAAACCAATGCTACGTGGATTCTTATCAAAATAGCATTGCCTTTATTTGCTGATAAGTCTGTTCAGCAGGAACGGTTGCATAAAACCATATTATGGCATTTTTCTTGCAGAAAATTACCGCAGTGAAGTGCCTTTTCGAGCACCGAGATATTTTTTCAAGCTGCCATACTTAAACATTTTCAGCATTTTCCTAGCACTGAGTTACAGATCTGTGGGAAATGGAGCCTTCCTGGTAGGCACAGGGTGTTGAATTTTTGCTGAAAAGACCTGAAAAATTGAACCCGGACAACTTTTGAAGTAAGCTGGAAAAGTAAGCTCTGCTCTGTAAGTCTGTTTTGCCACAAGAGTCTTTATCCCTGCAGATGCTTGTCTAGTGTTTCTCGTGGTGTAATTTCATTTGCTTTTTAGCAGCAGGTCGGGTTCGGATTGAGCATTTTGGGTATCCTGGTATTGGCATGGGGAGCAGCTGCCACGTGCTTCAGCCTCGACTTTGGCTGAAAACTATGGCTCCTGCTTTTGGGGTTAGAGAATGCTGCTCTGGTACGAGCTAACATTAAGCATAGCAGAGCTGTCTGCTTGGGTCTGCGGAAGGTTTTTGAAGCAAGCGACTGTGAAGCAATTAGAAATTTCTTTCCACCTTATTTAGCGTGGGCTTTCTGCTAGCTGACCTCCACTGCAAACATGCGATATAATATTTCTGTTGCTAAATAATCTGAATTGGCAAAAATCACCCTGGTTTTGTTATCTTAACTTCTGGGATTGCTTGCAGTTCTCCATGCTGGGTGGACCTCCTTGGCAACGTTCTTTGTACTTTGGCGTAAGCAACGGTCAGGGCTGCAGAATCCATGCACCATTTTCCAGGTAGGTACTTGGAGTGTCCATTAGTGACTAAAATTTCATTTGTACTATCATTTTATAATTTATCTTCAAAATATTACTCCATTTCATCTGTAGGATGCTCTTGTAAGTGAGTAGGCACATCTGCTCTGCTCCTTCATTAGAAGGGCACAGCACAGCTGAAGAGATCAGGTCTGCTTATTATTGCAGGGGTTATTCTATGGTTTGTTCATTTACCCTGGCTAGTACTGTAAGTATTGGAAACTCATACCTGCCTGTGCCATTTGCCTCTGCTTTGGATGGTAGGGTCTCCATAACTCTGTAAGAGTTGAAGTACAGCCTGGCTTACAAACTAAAGAGTAAAGCTGCTACTGTTGAACCTTTCAAAATCCTCAGTCATTACTTGGAGGTTACTAGAGGAGCAGGCAGAGCAGTTAAAAAATTTAGGGGCTCCTGTTCCCTGCTTGGGACATCCCATCTAATCCCTTTTGTACTGCTTTGCACCAGTAGGATGCTGTGATCCCGGTGCACTGGGATCATTCCAGCTCTCCCCATCGGATCCCCGTTCAAAGCCTCAGTTTCCCGCTTCCATGCGTTGCCTCCCACAGCCGAGGTGCCTGGAGCCTTGGAGCTGCAAACTGCTTTTGCTGTTGCTTTGCTTTAACTCAGTCTGCATAAACTTTCCACCTACAGCTGCCTAATAATGTGAGGGTCAGTTCTTAACCTAAACTTGTATTTCTGCCTTCTGCTTGTGATGTAGCCTGGCATTCTCCTGTGTCGCTGCACCTAAAGGTCTTTGTAAGTCTTCTCTTGTGCTGCCTGGCTACTTTTTCTGTGAGGCCTGGCTATCAGGCTGTTGCTGTTGTACAGTTTGCATCTGTTCTCTCCTCTGAGAAGAACTGGGTGTTCTCCAGAGTGTGGTGACCCTTTTCCTCTAAAGACTTCACAGGGACGTGCTATTAAAGACATCAAGAAGGATGCCGCCTACTCCTCTCCGCTGACTTTATGTCAGGCACTAATGCTGCTTTCCACCCCGAGCAGGTGATTGCTGTCAGAGCTCTGAGGCTTGACTGCGAGCCCCCCAGGCTGCTGACACGCGCGTGAGGCGCACGTTGGCCAGGCTGTCGTGCGGCAGCTTTGAGGCAGGTGGTGGTTGTGATGGGGAGTTCCCTGGGAAGGAGCACGTGCCTGGGCTCGTACAGGACCGGGCCATGCTGGCCATCTGAGCGCTGTGCTGAGCAATGCAGAGTGTGCAAGTGGATGAAGTTTCACATAATCCCTTGAGCCAGGATCTCGGCAAACAGAGCTGGGGAAGCTGGAAGACTTCATCAGCTGCGCACAAGCCTGTTTCTAGCCAGTATCAGGAACCTGGTCAGCTCGGGTTTCCATGCGGAAAGGTGGGTCATTCCAGTGCCCAGCTCAGTAGAGCTCTGGGGAAATGTGCGCAGCATTGCTGCGGTCTGGAGCTGCTCACAGCTCCAAGTATAAAAAGGTGCCTGCACTAGGAGGAACAGTGCCTAGATTTGGCCGAAGCCTTGCAAGGATTAAAGCTTCCAGCTGTTGGAGCTGCTGAAGCCCTTCCGGCTGCGTGCCTGGGTCGTGTTCTGCACGAGTCCCCCTGTGCTGTACGTGCAGAGGAGCGGGCTCTGCAGCGCCTGTGGATGTGGGTTCATGATTGTTTCTTCTCAGGCTGTCGCTTTCGACTATGTGCTCTCTGGGACTATTAATCTATTCCACAGTCCTTCTCTGGGTGCTCACCCTTTCCCTCTTCTGAATGCGCCACTTTTCTCTCCCAGGCCTTCTTTCCACCTGTTCTTTCTGCAGTTTGCCTTGCTGCCTGTTTGCTCTGCACTGGAAGGACTGGGCAATGAAGCTTTAGAGAGCTGCTCCTGAATGTGTTTAGACCTCTGATGCAAAGCGAACAGAGGTGCAAGCTGATGCCCACAACACTGTTCGGTGCCTGATTCAGATCGACATTTTCAAGGCTACCTAACGGGCTGCTCAGCTCAGCTCAGCTTGCAAAAGCCGAATCAGCAGAAGCGAGGCATGCGCATTCGGCTCGTGCCCCGTGCGCAAGCCCTGCGGACGGCAGCTGCTGTGCCCTGTGAGTTGTGCTCCTGTCACAGCCTTGCTGCTGAGCCATCTGCCAGGGACTTAACTGAACAACGTCAGCCAGATAGCACTGAAAAGGGCAGCTCTGCTGGCTGGAGGCCCTGCAGGGGAAATGCTGTGCTCGGCAACTTCTGCCAGGAGTTTAAAGGCTCCCACCTAGGCTGCAAGTCACAACTTTGGCCAGGAAGAGACAGGGCTTCCTCCCGTCCACACTGCGATGAGTAGGGTTTGGCCTGTATTATTTTTGGGGGCGGGGAGAGGGCTGAAGGTCTCTTCCAGACAGCCTGTGAGGTTAGCTGAGGTCACCCCAGGAGGTCCGCTCTTGCTCTCTGGTTTGTTTTGCTTTGACTCCTAGCAGCAAAGGAGTATCTCTGTGTGGTAGAGCATTTCCTTTCTTTTCCCATATCCTGTACATAGACTGTTTGCAGCGCTGTGTGTGGGGGAGAGTGACTAACAGCGCCTGTCTCTATGCAGCGTGAGTCACGCTGAGCTCCCTGGCTGCCATCTCTAGCTAAGCCAGGCACGCGGGCAGAGGAGACGCTTCGCCCTTCTCGCTCGCATCCCTTGCCTGGGCCTAGGGCACTGCGAGGCAGGGCGCGCGTGGGCAAGCGGCCGCGGCAGGTAGGTCTGGTGCGGGTACGAGTATCTCGCTCAGTGCAGTGGCAAGGCAAGGGAGCGTTGCTGCTCGCCGGGCTGCCTCTGTATTCCGGAGGCTCCTCGCACGTCTGATTCATGGGAACGTGGAAGATGATCCGTCAGTTGGTCAGGTCTGTTGCAGACCGAAGTGCTAATTCTGTAGCCAAATGTTCTGTGTGCCAGTGCGTCATCCTAACTGCTGCCTTCAGCTGCAGCTGTTCCAGGCCAATTGTAGCTGAGGTCACCACACAAATGCAAGAGGGACAGGGGTGTTTTGAGTGCAGCAGGACAGGTGAATTTGCCAGCTTCTGCATTAAGTGTTGCTTATAAGAGCTTGAAGAATCTCTGAGCATCTCAGCTTTATTTCTATTGAAGAAACTACTTGGAGAGTCACAAAACTGATATTAGGGGTGTTGAGGAACGCATTGGTCAAATTCCTCGCAAACACACGCGCACACCCCCCCACTATGATCTTTCCTGTTGTGTAACTCCTGTTGCAGCTACCAGAACCTGAAGGAAGCTTGGTGCAAAGGGAAAGCTTGTTGCTTTCCCACAGCGCTTCCTCTGGAGTTGCCTGTGTAAGTCTGAATTCAAATGATCAAAGATCTATGATCATTCCTTTCAAATCTTTCCTTTCAACCAGGCAGAGATGTGCAACTTCAAGAAGGTGCCTTGGACATACAAGGAGCACTAGTGGAAAAAATCCATTTTGGCTCTAGAGACGGAAGCCTCTTTTCTAAGCAGAAAGTCCAAGATTGTCCTAGGCTAAGTCCATGTAAGCCTGTTACAATCCAGATCAGGGTAAAAGCTTTTAGGAAAAGTAGTTGACAGAATTAATGGTCGTGAATGTCTGTGCCTTGCTGTAATCGGGGAGTTAGACTTGTCAGGAGGGAGGTGTTTTACAGGCCCGTTCTAACTTGCCGGCAGCGCAGAGGGACCGTTGGAAAACAGGACTTCTGCTTTCAAATTAGTAAGACAATCTTAGACAGCACAAGTGTTGCTATTGCTTCTGCTTGCAAAGATGGAGCGAAAATTTCACCTTGCTCTTTCCACTAAACCTCACCTATGAATTGCTGATCTTGTCTTCATAATTTTGAATGATGTTGAAAGTTGAAAAGTATTGTAACTACCTTGTGAAATTAAGTCTTACAGTCTCTAGAAAAACCGGCAGTGTCCAATATAGCACCTGGTTTCTTTGTTCTATGAAACTCTATGTGCCTTGGGCATGTGAACCGGAGAACTAAAGGCTCCTGGCAGCTGGTAGCATAACTAGCTCAGCAGGATCTAGACGCCATTTATTATTGCAGGATGGGTCTTCCAAAATGTTCTTAATTTAGAAGCAGTTACAGTGTGCTCAGAGATTACTGAACCTATCTCAAACATGATATTCGTGTACCTCTGTGGAAATACAGTAATTGTATGCATCGCTCCACGGTATAAACCGCATTGTTAGCATGAAGTATGTGTCTAGAGCAAGTAAACTTTAAGAGCTCGCTCTCTTGGCTCGTACTCGTTGCTTCTACCATAGCCAACACTTTCCGTTACGGAAGAAGGAATTTTAATTTCAAGGGTTAGACATAGTGCTTTTATTTTACTCTGTTTCTTTCAGTGAGAATTTTCAGAGCTTCTTTTGAGGTGTCTCCTGTCCCACCCTAAACTTCCTCTACTTCGGATTCAGAGTTGTAGAGAGCAAGCGCTGTAGAGCATGTACAAAGCAGTAAAGATACTGTGCAAAGTCAGAAAACCGGGTGAGAAGGCCCTTATTGTACCTGTGATTTTTATTGCGTTTGGTGTCAAAGGAGGTAAATGTAAAATTAAACTTAACAAATTCCACAGGAAGCTTTGGAGCCTTGGAAAAAGAACTTCTACTGTGAAGTCTAAACGACAAATCTGATTTCTGTCTCTGACCGTCGGATTCTTCTGATTCCAAGCCACATGATATGTGTGAGTGCTTTTTTGGGACAAATCCAGTCCTAACTTGCAAGGGAATGGGCTCGTGTGGGATGAGATGATGGCGTGCCGTGGTCGTATTACTAGAGGAATTAGGATGGCTTCTCCCTGGCAGTGCCCAAGCCCTGCCCCTTCACAGTGTTGCTAGGGATTAGCATTGTATGATGAGCACTGAGGAGCTTTTGCAGCATTTGCTGGATAGTGGATGCTTAATTCATGTGGCACAAGATCAAAGCTGAGTAGTTTTGAGAACTATTTTCCTCTCTCGGAGTGAAGGCAGTACATCACTGAGTGATGACACGGCCCGTGTAGGCGACGCGTTCCC